ATGACCCCAGAAGAGCGAAAGGCTTTCCTTAAAAAGGTCAGCAAAGTTTGTCCTGATCCAGAAGCCTACAAGAAGTGCTTCAATTTTAAGATCACATCATTGTCCATTTCCTCAGCTCAAACCTCTACAGGGCAATCAGCTTGCGATCTCAGCGAGCTCCTAGCGCTAAGTGGCAACTTTTCCAAAGAGGAACATGCAAGTCTCCTGGAAAAAGCCAAGACTGCGCTGAACAATGATCAGTTTCGCCAGGGTTTCAAAGACAGCGTATACTTTGTGGACAGTGGAGGAACACTTCCTCACCGAGTTCAGTGCTTCAAGAGTGGAAAATGTACATGTAATTGCATTTTCTTTGGCCGAAATAACCTTTGTCATCATTGTTTGGCCATTGGAATCCATCTACATTGTGTGGCAAACATTGTAAAGGCCTATGGAGGCCGAAATCTGAGCAACATTTCAGCAGCTATCGCTCCAAAAAAAGGCTGGAGGGAAAGCACAATCCCGAAAGCGATCGTTACCTGAAACTGAGGTAGTGGTGCACCATTCATTGGATACAGATACGACTGCAAAAGAAGCTAAAGCTGTAAATCCAACAACCCTTGTCATAAGAAGAGCAGTTAGACCAGTCGATTCACCACCCTGTGGGCCTTTGGTTGTAAAAACGATTGCAGGCAAAATCAGAAAGTGTGCGGGTTGCTCCAGGGCCATAAAATCCAATGTTGTGGGATTCGAGAGCCCAGATGATCAGCTGTATTGTTTTGCTAGATTTGAGCGCTGTCATTTCTTTAACAAGGGAACAAATGCCTGGTAGCTAGCGACATGGACGAGGCACTACCATATCAATCCCGTCTGAACAAAGGTGTCATCAAAAATAACCAGTGATAGCAGTCTCATCGTCATTGGTAGCCTGCGTCAGCTAGTTGTGGAGAGATTCCAATACAATCTAGATTAAGGTTTATAACTGCCAGTAACATTATCTCAAGTAATAGTTGCTATAGTCATCGAGTTTATCTTGAGATTGCTCATGCTCAAGGTTGGCCAAACACTCAAAACAGACACTCTTAAGGCCAGAGAGAACTTTAAAATGTTATGTTAAATTTGTGTCACTGTTTAACAGTCATTCGTGACTGTTAAAGTTTGAAATATTGCGTGACTTATTAACAAATAATTGACATTAAGTTCAATTTAAATCTATATTACAAAGTTAAGTAATTGGGAGGTTACATATAAATGTTCGTACAACAGAGAATCTTTGCCACTTGGCTACTTCTTTATTGGAAATATGAAGTTGTGTTTTACCTACAGTTTATATTTACTGCTTTATCCTATATATTCTAAAAGGAAATCAGTTCAGTTCTGTCAAGTAAAATCTGTTGAGTTCTATCAAAGACTTACACAGACAATACTTTCAGGGGGAGTTAAACCAGAATTTTTACGAACCTGGATGAGTGTTGAGCAAGGAATAAAGTAGGGAAATAAAAATGCACTGGCAAATAGACTACCACCATCTTTCAATTTGACAGATAATTTTGAATCTTAACTAAACCCTCATTTTTCATCATTTAGTTCCAATCCACGTATCTCATTCCTTCTCCTTCATAAAATTCCCCTAAGCATTATAATTTGAAGACATTTTTAGCTTGCTTCACATTTTAAAGGGATAATAAGAGAACTGCACTGGACCACATGAGAAAGTTAGCTTTACTTAGGTTTAACTCCCCCTTAAAGGAGCAGGATAGTTTTTATCAACGGGACTTTTGAAAATAAATTCCAAATTAAAACTGTACAAAAATGGCCCTTTTTTTCGTGTATTATTGAAAATCTACTTTAACAAATGTCTAAATGTTATGCAAGATGTATACTGATTCTGTTTTTCATGACGAAATATTCACATGACTAAACTGAATGTTGTAGCATCTACAGAACTAAATGGAGTAACATGCATCATGTTCATTGATGGGATTAACTTTTGTCGCCATATATACTAAATATACTATATACTAAAACCCCAAAATAATGTCTAAAAGCTGTTTTCGGGGAGAAGAGATGCCAATGGCAAAAAGATGGAAAGTTCTTACCTTCTGTTTGTGGCTTAATCGGGCTGCAAAAGACGTGATTTTAGGTCGTTCTAACTTGGTTATAATTGAATTCTGTTAAGCAAATTGTGAAGCCTTGGACGAGTTCACAAAACTGCGGGAGAATGAGCTGAACAAAATGGCGAAGGAAATGCACTCGAAGCAGCACAAATGTCAAGGCTTCCCAGAGATTTCCCGGTCTTTCATACATACTTATAGCCACACCAAAGGAAATGGCAATGTGCAATGATAAAACTTGCGCCTGAGACTGAACCCAGGTCTGTTCCATTTTCCCAGCTTAACGCTCGAAATTTCGCCGACACGAGTGATCTATTGGAGAAGCAGTAAGGTATGGGTCGCACTTGGGAAAAGTTTTCATCTTTGCCGGCTAAAAAACCACAAAAATTTGAAACCGCAACCGGAAAGGAAAACTTTCAGACAGAAACGGAGGGTCGCACAAGTGGGAGATGATTGTCAGTACCAAATTTTAAATGTATTTGCTTGGCGATGTCATCCCAAGCTTTGCGGGCTTGACTGCTGTTGATGGGATCGAAATTCTCGGCCCACAGGTTGATCAGCATTTTTTCTTCGTTATCTGACCATCTTTCATAAGATCATTTTCCAGTATCAACGGGTTCATGATTAGGAGACGATTGGGAAGACCAAGGCGACGACGCTTGTGAAGCGCTTGCTTGCACGGAACTGGCCGATAGTGTGTTTTCCTGCGCAATGCTCGCATGTGAAGTGCTCGGTTGCATTCCCCTTCCAGTCATAACATGGTAGACGGGAACATACTGCGGGTATTCCATGCTATCGCCGTAAAAACCATGAAAACCTTGAAATTGTGCGAGATTATAATAATAACTTCGTCCGTTCATGATGAAAGACCGCGAACTAGAACTGAACTTCCCGCGCGTATCGTTTTTCATGTTACGCTGACAAGCGTTGACAGTTAACGCTGTGATTCCCATTGTTTGGCTCGACTTTTCGA